TCAAACCTGTTGAAGAAGTTAACAGTTAGTTTATGTTATATGTTTTATGCTTTTTGTTGACTTTTGAGAGCTTAAGTTGATATTTTAAAGCAATCAATTCAATGCATTTCATTTATGACATTATTGTAGAGTCTATAAAGCTATAAAATGCACAGCTCCTTCCGGCATGGCCGAAAGAGAGCTGGTGTAGCAGTCACACAACACAGCTCATGGTTCTTTGTATTTGTAACATGGTAGACTAATGTGCCTGTGTTAATTCAGCTCCATATTGTTGTGTGAAGTTGCACTGGGTTGGGAGTGGTTGTGTGTGTGTGTGTCACATTTTTGGTGAGCCAATGGCTGTAATGGGGTTGGACTAATTAGAGGCAGGTGTACTTGACTGCACTGATACACTGGTCTACTTATAGCCCACACTACAAACACTGCTGTGCTTTGTCTCTCTGTGCAGGTATGTAATGTGATGAAATCTGATATGTTTGGGCTGGATGGGTTTTGCGCTATGAATTCTATAGTGAATGTGTCATTTTGTCTCTCTGTGCAGGCCAGGGCCTATTATATGCCACACAGAGGCTGGAGTGACCACTGGCTATATACTTGCAGGGTGGTGGGTCTCAGAAGACAACTTCTAACCCTGTTGAGGTTCAACACGTGGAGTGCAACTGGCAGTGTGGCATAGCTGGCTCTGGCCTTGGGACTGTGCGTTTTACTTGATTCATAAATGGGACACTGGACTGTTTTATCTTTTATCTTTTGATTATTTGTCAATAAATTATCTTTTAGAATTTTATTGACTGTCATCTTTTTGCCCACAGCTAAGACGGTTGGACAAAAGGACCCCCTGATGATCCTCTAATCGCTAAGAGGATCATCAGGTGGTCCTTTTGTCCCTCTGCTTGGGGATACTCCCACTAGGTTTATATCTGGGACTCTCCACCATTTGACCTTAGAACTGAAGAAGCTTCTTGGATGAGAGGTGAAACGTCTTCAAGTAACTTAAAGAAGTCCAGACGCTTTTCTTTGCAAGCTCCTTTGACTTCATCCATGGGCAGCAAAATTCCAAACTAATCAATACACATGCACCTCAGCAAATTGTAAAAGGGCAAAGCAATTTAAAACTTACAGTTTTTTGACTAATGTAGGTTTCCTGCAAATGGAGCCTTAGCTTGACGCTCCGCTCCTTGATAGTTTCTCAATATTTACTTCAAAAGTCCAAACAGGTACACAGCAACAGAATTCCAAATTATGAAAACTTAAAGCTCAATTCAAAATGGACAAAGAGAGATTACCAGGTCCACTCTCCTCTCGCCCAATTTCCTGTTTTTCTGCACTATCAAAATAAAAGCATACATTTCAAATTAAACTGCATGTAGGCTCCTACAGTAGGTTAATGAGATAAAATGATTCAGCTGACTTTATTATTGTTTTCTGATTATTATTATTATTTGATTTTGAGTTTTCTTTGCCCTCACTAAGTTGCTCTAATAAAATATCCTGCAATTAAAGTCTAAATTGTGGACATTGTGGACTTCTGTGAAATAGGACAAGAAATCTGAGTAGTAATCTTTATTTATATAAATAACTCTTACCGATTACGCCAGCCTTCTAAGTATAAGAGTCACTTGAGGCCTACTGTCCAGACCCCTCATTAACCCGTTTGATTAGTAAATGCACCGATATACAGTGGGGCAAAAAAGTATTTAGTCAGCCACCGATTGTGCAAGTTCCCCCACCTAAAATGATGACAGAGGTCAGTAATTTGCACCAGAGGT